CATTTATTTTTCACAAAGGAAGCAGAATTGTGCAAATAATAATTTACCTCAACTAACACTTTAATACAGGTAACACCAATCTCACAAAACTAGCATGCTGCTATTTTTATTTTTATTTATTTATTTAAAATATTTTCACCCTGCCGTTCTCCTTAGGGAGAACGGCAAGAAGTGTTAAGGATAAGAAGCACCAGAAGGGTTATGTGCATCTTTGTTTCAGTGATCAGCCAGTTCTTCTTTGGTTGTTGCATGCATGCTTTGCTTCTCAAAGTGAATGGATGCTAGTTTTATAGAGAGAGACACATTGCACAAGGAACAGGGACACTGATGAGAAGAAACCCACTCCTTGTTCCACTTTCACCTGGCAGTGAGAATTCTCAAAGGCTTTGAGCAGTCCTCTAAGAGATGTCTCTTTGAACTGAGAAAATGAAACATTTGGCAAGTATTCTTTACATACACTTCTCAAAATGAACTATGAGATGTGCTGAGCTTCACAAGGTGTAGAAACCTTGTGTACTGCTCTTCTTGCCAAGCACCTTCTTCCTTCTGGACTCTTCCCCATTCCTAATCTTTCTCACTAGTTTTCCCCTTCATGTTCATTCTGCTTTCTCTAGACTACCTATTTAAAGAATTTGGAGGGCCCTGTAAAGAGGAGCACCCGTTCAAGTTATCTAGAGCAGGGGTTCCCAATTTATTTTGGTTACGGGACCCTAAATGATCGACCTTCTTTTGGTGGAACCTCAACTCCTATAAAGAAAGTTAACTGGCGACTGTGAACATAAAAACCAAATTTATTTTATTTACATCTTATTGTTAAGACCCCTGATACCTAATTGTTTGCACACTGTCATGTTCTATGGACTATAACCTTCTCAGGCACAATGCAGCATGGGAAAACTTTGTCTTAAAGCGAGACAACCCTATTTAAAATTTCGCAATGTGAAGCATTATTTCCACAGAAAATCCTTTTCCAATTCAAGGCAAATGTAATGTGGGGTTCCACTGTACAAAACATTTTTGGCAAATAATAGAAATCAAGAAAATACTTGATTGAAACAAGAAATACTGTGAATAGCTTGTTAAAATAGAATTAAATCACTCGACTTTCTGATACACTTTACATCTGATACGCAAGCACGAGCAGTCCTGTCATGGTGACTGACGCACTCAACTGGATGGCCGCGCCCCTGTGCCAGCCGGTCAGTCACATCAATCAGTGCTGCCTCACCTGCACTCACCGTTGCCTGTCACTGTCGCCCGAGGGACATTTTGTGCATGTTGGGGCTTGGTACCGACTCACAGTCTTCAAAACCTCTTCCGATCAGACATTTTGAATTAATGTTAGCAAGTAACGCTTTATAAAAGGGGTTCGCAACCCCTGATCTGTGGCCCGGTGTCAGTCTATGGGCTTCCCAGAACCGGGCCATGGAGATGGATCTCCACTCCCCCCCCGCACACATGGCAGGCATGTTGCACTCGCATGGGTGTGTGTGTCCTGCTCATGTGGGGTGCGTGTCACGCTCATGCAGGGGCGTGTCATGCTTGTGCACAATTGCGACATGCTCCCCCTGCGAGTGCGACACACTCCCCCCCGCGAGCGCGACATGCCTCCTGCAAGCATGACACCCTGCACGCATGGAGCGCGCCCCCCTAACCGGTCTGCGGTCCCAAAAATGTTGGTGGCCACTGCTTTATAATATTCTAACATTTATTAAGCTTATTATAAAGCATTACTTGCATACCTTAATTTAAAATGTCCACTTGGAAGGGATTTTTGAACACTGGCAACTGCCTGCTTTCTATGACAGTATGCCCCTCTCGGAACCCCTGTGACCCTTCCACAGAACCCCAGGGTTCCGTGGAAAACCTTTTGGGAACCGTTGATCTAGAAGCCTTCTGGATAAATTAATTTCTCAAGCTTGGTTGCAGCTTTATCTCCTGGGCGGCTTAGAAAGATTTGTCTGGGAGAGGACTACTACAGTGCCGAACTCAAACATACACCGTAATGTCTTTGGAATGGGCAGAAGCTTCTTGTGCCAGCGCAGTTGCCCATATGTTGACGCAACTATCTTTGTGCGGTACTAAATCCTTGTGCTGGCTGATAGCAGATCTGCTGGCACAGCTGGGTCTGTCGGCACAACTGCTTGTGTTGGCTGAAAGCTGGCAGAAGAGCCAAAAGATCAGTTAGGATTGTGCCCTAGTTCAGTTTTGCTGAAGTTGGCACCTCCAGTTAAAATTCAGATATTGGCATAGCTGAACTTTTAGAAGTGTTTGTTGTAATTTAAGGCTATTTGCAACTTTTTTAAAAAAAATTCTGAAAATTTGATTCTCTGGAACAGAAATAGTTTTTATATGAATGAGATTTAAATGTACAAATGAAGCTTTCAGTATATGTATCTTTCTCATATAGCACTCATAGCACAGGATGCACTGAGTTGATTTAAAAGTTGCTGCTTTGGGTGTTTCTTCTTGTTATCTTTCAGTTTCTATAGATTTGAACTTTGTCTTAATGAAAGGAATTTCTGTTATGTAAACATCAAGGTGCATTAATCTGCTCTTAAAGCTTAATCACATTTTTAGAGAATAGCAATACATCATAATTTTATGTTGATTATTTATTATAATTTGAACGCAAGACTATAATTTTCTTGACACCAGAGAACATTAATTTTCCACCACTACAAACACCGGAACCTCGTGCTTTGGAGATACTTGCTACATAACCTTTTCTGAAGTTCATATCTCTGAATATATTCAGAGATCTCTCTAGAGGAAGAAAAATAATCTTGAAAGTAACTTTTTGGATTCTGCTATATAAGCAGCAAACATTCCATTTCTATTGTTTGTTGTTTGCACACAGGAACATAACACTGACCTTGGAGCCCTTCCAGATTTTTGAATACAGCTAAATCCTTGCTCTGTGAAACAATTGCTAACGAAGGGTATTACATTTTTTTCCAGTAAAATTAATTAATCTTGTGCCCATGGAATACTTTTCTGGCTGATGTCAAAGTAGAGTACTGCATTTTACCTAATGGATAAATCTTGAGTGGTGGTACCCACATTAAAGAATTCACTTTCTGTTTTAATTGTGCAATCCATACTCAAAGATGCATCAGCTGTAGTGGGCTTAGAATGGGCAGATGCTGGCATGATTCTCCTTATACTGACTGAGCTCAGATCTGTTGGCACAGCTGGAGCTGTTGCTGTAACTATGCTGGCTGAGATCAGTTAAGCAGAAGAGCCAAAAAAGGAGCAGAGATAGAAAGAAGTGGGAACGAGCTGAGTCATGCCAGATCCATAACCCTCTCAACCCAAACACAGCCACTATACCATTGTAAATTTAGACCAGAGTTAGAGTTATCCTAAGTAATTTCCAACACTCCTAGATTGGCAAGGTATGGACTGAGAACAACCTCAGCTGACTCTGTGTGATGGCCAGTCATCAGCCATCTTGGCTAAGGAGGATTGTATCCTAAACTGGTAATCTGACATATAATTTAATTAGATCAAATATCACTGTTATGATTTAGTAGTAGGTGATGTCTCCCCTGTTATTTCAGATTTCTACTAAAATTAGATAAATCCTTGGTGGTATCTGGTCTCCCTTTGTTGTTAATGTTCCTACTTACTCCACATTCTTAGTTCATTACAGGATTTTAAAAAAATCATTAGCCTTGTTAGTTGCCTACTTTTTTGTTTTTTAAGGAGGACATAAATTGTCCAACAAATAATTTGGTAATGCTGCTATTCTTCAACAAAACTATGTAACTGAGCAGGGGAAGACATTTAAAACCTAGTGCTTTAAAACACACATATGTGCTTCTACAAATGCCCTCTTTCTGCTTACCTATGCTTCTCCTTATCAGTACCTATACATGTTCTAATATGGCCTTCTATATATTTATTTAGATAATAAGCAAAATTCTTCTTAAAGCTTTCAGTTCAGCTTTCTGGCAACAGTGCACTGTCTCTTTTTTTGACAACCTGAGAGATATGGGACAGCCTTTGTCTCTGGCATGTGTCCTGCTCACTCCTGGCATGTGTATCCTGACAGAGCATCCCAGGTGAATGTCATCCTCAGCAGGGGAAGAAAAATACATCTTTCCCATTCCTGTTTCTGAACTGATATATAAATTCAGTGCACATCTATTGCCTGCAGTTACACTACTGAACCTTTGAACAGTATTCCTTTTTCCTGCTGTTGATAACCTGGATAACGGGTGTGAATTTGAAATACAAGGACAAGCTTTTCAGTAAACATTATTTGTCTTATTAGTGTGAAGGTACATGCTTTCTCAAGGACAGTTGTTTTCTAAAATAAAGTTTAGCAGGGCTGTATTCTACCTCTTACTCACTTATCCTAGATATCTGGGCCCTTGTTGTTAATTAGTGTTGAGGAAAGACAATTTGCATAAATCCACCATTATCTACTTCATACACTCTCTGAGTGTAATTTCAAACACAGGCTCCTGGGTTGAACTCTGGGAGCACCCTATTGTCTTTAAAAGCAGCTAAGCAATCAGGTGGCGGTTGAGTTGCAGAGTGGGGGGGGCAAAATAAACTGCTAATGAAGCTAAGCTCTCAGCTGTCAGCTTTCCTATAAATTATGGCCCAAGCCAGAGGACATCAGATGTCATCACCATCTGGTGGCTGTTTGGAGCTGGTGTAGTTGTCTGTGTTTTCCAGACAGACAGATGTACAAGTGGCAAATGCCTCCATTTGTTTTGGCACCCATTGACAGGATCATTGACAGTGTCAACAGAGAGCCAGTGGCCATACGCGGTCTTTTAGTTAGTCTTTTTCTTTTAATTGGAGAGGTATTGACAAGGTATAATGGGGAATGGGAATGTTCATAGTGTTGGTGCTGTGTTCACTGTGTTGATTCCCTAAAATTATTTTAAAGGAATTTGACTCTATACATTGTCTATGGAAAGCAATATTTTAAAGGGATGGTTTTAATACATAAATAAGTTAAATTTATTTTAATTTATTTTCAGATGAACAAAAAGGATATGGGCCAATTTTTGAAGAACAGCCCATTGATACTGTCTACCCAGACGAATCCCCAGAAGGAAGAGTCACAATGAACTGCAGAGCAAGAGGAATACCCACTCCTACTTACAAGTAATGCACATATCTTACAGGGATATGTAGAAATTGCCATTTATGTCAATAATCGAGATTTTAGTCGGGGGGGGCGGGAAATGGAATGTTTTGGTCTGGAAAACGTGGACTTTGTGACAAGTCAGTGTTGCTAAGTCACTTACAGAAGCAGTGGCAACAACATGAAAGGACAGAAATTATACAGAGGCTGTAAGTATTTTGTCTTTCAGTAATTCGAAGTGTGGGTGAATGTGTTTACAGGTGATACTACTGACTCCAGTTAATGGGTATTAGCAATGTTTTAGCATAGTTGACTAAAAGAGAATCTTAAATGTATTAGTAATATCTTTATACAGCAATTTAGTTACATAAGTATGAACAGTTATGTCTTATATTTAGTAGAAAAAATGCAGCTCGATAGTTGTTAAGATTTTTCCCTTTGTGTCTGATATTTTGTCAGTAAATCTTTTAATTTTTTTTTTCAAAGAGTGCTGTTAGAGATGTACTCTTTCAAGGATTTCTAGTCCTTCCTGGAGGTGCAAAAATGAAATTTGCTTCATATTTCATTTACTTGCTTCATGGAGAAGATTGGATATGAAGATTAGATGCCCCCTCTGGTGAATGAAATAATATATTTCCATTTCTTGCAGACGCATCAGTATAAATGTGTCTGCAATACAAAATATTAGTCTTTGAGCAGGAGTGACACTAGCTTCAATAGCATCAAGACCTGAATCACACCAGATTTTAGTAGCTGGCAGTTGATGTGTGGAATCAGTACATCGTGGTATGGCTGCTGCAAATCAACACTGGCTAACAAAAAATGGGGGCATTGTTACAGATTCAGAAAGTTGCAGGAATTAATTAATACTTACTCAAGCCCAAAAAAGGGAGAATTAAAAGTGTCCAGTGTGTCAGGGCTCTGAAAGTCCTCCAAAAGAATTCTGAAGTGAAATCTAGAGCAGTTTGACTCCAGTTTTGTGCTTGCACTTGTGGTTGTTTCAATGTGAGTGGAAGTCCTGTGAAAATTGCCTATTGTTTGGGGGCTTAAAAAGTGATACTGATGCATGCTGAGGCCATAGGGTCAGCCCTGTTCATTTTGTCTATTTCCATGTATGCTATTTTTGGTATGCAGACAGCTGAACAAGGCTAGATAAATGCAAAGTTTCAGATGCTCACATTTTAGTAAAAAGTTTTTTTTCTTAACAGATGGCAACGAAACAACAAGGATATTGATATTAAGATAGCAAAGGAGCACCATAGTATGATAGGAGGAAACCTGGAAATTATTAATCCTGAAAGATCAAGGGATGAAGGAACATATGTATGCATAGCATACAATGTGCATGGAACTATAAGGAGCCGGGAAGCAACTCTAAACTTTGGATGTAAGCAGTTATTTACATTTTAACAGATAAAAGAGTCTTGTGTAAAAACCATACCATCATAGTATTGCCCTGGTTGGCATATGTTCTAGTAGCCATGTGAGTTTAATACAAAAAATGGCATTATCAGGTCTGAATTGAAGAAATGGTACCCACACTGTTCCAATGAACAGCTTCCAGAGTATCAGCTGTGATACCATCTCACCCACTGCTATTACACACTCTCTTTTTATTTTATTTTGTGCATTTGTCATGATTAGACAGATTGCATATCTCTCAATATGTTGGCTTGTATTCCTCACATCTTCCATTGTTGAAATATTTGGGACAGGTCTAATGGATTTTATTTTATTTTGAATGAGAAATCTTCCAACTAATTGTGCCTTTTCTTGGTAAATATAGATATTCACATATCACGGGAAGTCATGATTCTGTAAAGCAGAATCAGTTTTCCACAGCAAAAAGTGTAAGATTGTGACCTCCTGGATACCAAGGCACTGAAATCTGAAAGCCACCTTCCCAGATCAGGTTGTGTTTCATGCTGGCTCAAATCATTTCAAAGTGTTTTCCCTTCTGCCACACACAGGAAAAAAGGATTAGATGGGATGACAGACATCCCATCCTGCAGTTAGGTGCATGCTGCTGTTAAAACCTGCCAAACCATTATGAACCAGTGAGAAACATCTATTAACTAAACAAAAAGGAGGTCATCTCTGACCTTAATAACTATACTGGGAAGCCAAGCCCAATAAGGAAAGACTGAATTGGGCAAGTTTAGCCTTGAGAAAAGAAGACAGAGGGGGTGATATGATAGCACTTTTCAAATATTTGAAAGGCTGTCATACAGAGGAGGGGAAGGATTTGTTCTCAGTCATCCCAGAGTGCAGGACATGCAACAATGAAGTTAAAGGAAGAGAGATTTCAACTGAATATCAGGAAAAACTTCCTAACTGTGAGAGCAGTAAGACAGTGGGACCAATTACCTCGAGAGGTGGTGTGTGCTCCAACTCTGGAGGCATTGAAGAGAAACTTACACAACCTTCTGGCAGTTATCCTTTTATTTGTATTCCTGCATCGAGCAGGGGATTGGATGATTCTATACACTGACTGAAACCCAGTAGTAAATTATGCCGAGATTCAATGAAACTTTGTGTAGGTGTTAACTTAACAAATCCGCATGGTTTCAATGGACCTACTCTAGTTGTGACTTACTATCAGATTTCAAGCAATGCCAGTCTTTGAAGGGCAGAGAAGAAGATACTAACATTACACATGATCTTTTTGAAACAGGACATTTTTTAAGTTTTGGCTTACATTGCCCTGTAAAGTGGCATGTGAGGCATCATTTTAACAATCCAACAGCTCTGAAATAGTTATCATAAAAAAATCATTTCCCTAAAATTTTATGGAGACTAAAAACAGACATAAGGTATCCTCATCAGAGACTAAAACCTTACATATTGTACCCTGCTTGTTACTGTATAGATACCAGATGGATAAATGACTGACTAAAAGATGTCATTAGGGTTGTATGACAGCCAAACAGTGCAGAAAGTGGCTCCTGTCACTTTTTGCTAACAGATCTCTGACCTTGTCACTGCCAAAGAAATCCTGCAGAGGGCACTTCTGACCTCTTTTGTCAGCTTAGGGGAACCTTGTGGAAATGTTTCTATACATTTGGTGTCTTGCAGGTTTGGAGAAATTTAATGTGCATAAAATCTCACTTTAGACATTCATTTGTGAATGTTAACAACAAGTTTTGTTCTCTAAACATTGAGTTAGTGTGAAATATGTTCCCTTTAAAAAAAGAAGAAAGTTAAAGGGAATACTGTACAAGAGACTCCATAACCTGTTATTTATAGTTATGCATATATTTTGTATTACTTTTGTACCCAGTCCTATCTACTGTATTTTTGATTAACTAATGATCCAGGGATGCTGCTGGTATCAAAGGAAACTGGAAGATT